ACCGAGTTTTGTGGTAATTGGTAAACACTTGCGTTGTAATTTGATGTATTTCTCCTAGGAGATTTATTTAAACAACCCATAATTCCCGACTTCCATTTGAATTGTCGTAAAACTTAGAGCACGAAAGTTGTTTGGCCTGATGTGATCTATAAGTGTACCGAGTTTCATATTATTACATGCAAGTGTGTTTGATTTATGGACCAAATTTTCAGATCAAGTTTATGGACCAAGTTAATAAACTAATTATATAAAACTATTGTCAATGCACTACAATTAAACTGGTTATATAATGCCTTTACTTATAAAAAATTTAAATAAAAACATATTTAAAACATACCAGACTTAAGAAATGTATTTTCTTTTTCTGCAGGCCAGACACACAGCAGTGAAATGGTTAAGCCCCCTCCCCCTAAAAACACACACACACCCAGACAGGCAGAGGCAGAGACACAGAGATGTAGGCTCAGAGCGAGCATGACCACATTCAAATAAACATATCTGACTTTCTGTGGGTCCTAGCTAATGAGTGTCAATTAGAAAGTTGTCCGGCTTGAGGAGTACAATATACATACCGATTTTTGTAACTGTAGATAAAACTAACAACTCCACTTTTGTCAAAAGATGGCGCTACTGAGCCCTCACCACGCCCGTTTCTGAAACTTTGCACATGTCTACTGGCTAATAAATGTGATGTGTCTGATGAGTTTCATGCAATTTGAAGCATGCTAAGGGTCTCAAAAGCATCCTAAAAGAATGGTAAAGTTTGATGCATTGCCACTGCAACAGTTTCAAAGATATTAAGAATCCATTCACAGGTCTACATCTGCCGTATGTTTACATTATACAGATGAAGTTTGAAGCAAATCGGGTTAAATTAAGAGGGTGATTTCAAAGCATTTTGAAAGTGACACACTTCCTGCTGCCAGTTGGTGGCGCTATAACTTTGACTCACAATAGTCACATCCATGTGATCGTCCTCTTACAGCGAACACACTGCTGAAGTTTCATCAAGATCAGTTAACGTATGCTGAAGTTATAACACACTTCCTGTTTCACGTTTCTCGCCATAATTTCGTTTCCTCGCCAAGGCCAAACCGTTCGAGATATAAAAAATCCCCACACAAGCTTTCATCCTCTATGTCTTGACTTCACGCTGACCGAGTTTCGTCGAATTTGGATCAGAGCTCTAGGAGGAGTATTTCACATTCCATTGCGTGTGTTTTACAAACAACCCTCAATAGCCGACTTCCTGTTGGGCTGAGGTAAAAAGTAAGAGTGTGAGGTATAGATGAAACGATGAAATCGACATGTGTACCGAGTTTCATATTATTGCATACAAGCGTGTTTAAGTTATGGACCAAGTGTTCGAACCCCGTTCCAGGGGGGCGCTGACGAGCCTCTACGATCGGCGGAAGTTATCGAGCATCCCTAATGCTTTACCGGAAATACCGCCGTGCATAGAGCCCATTGCACGATACAAAAAATAAGCTCGATAATTTAATAATTAATTTTTCTAAAGCAATGAGACGTGAACATATTGTCACGGGTGTGGTGCGGGCAGAGGAACGAGGAATCCGGAGTAACGGAGAAGATACATTTTAATTCAGATACAGGCAGGAACACGGGGTACACAGCGTAACATCAAACATCGACTGACCAAGACAGACTGAATGAGAAGGAACTAAATACACAGAGGAATCAAACTAAACGAGGTGCAAACAGGTGAAAATGATGATAACAGGACGAGGAACAGGTGGCTGATTGGGGAGTGAGTCCGGGAGTAGAAACAAAAGGATCCAGGGAAGTGTAGTGCAGATGACGAGACAGACTGGTGCAGACGGAGGACTGTGACACATATAAGAATTTATCAAGATTTTTTTCTAAATGTGTGCTTCTTTGTTTGGACTACAAGCGCTCTTCATTCGTTTCATTCCTCAATAGAATAGTAAAAATGATCAGCTTCATTGCACCTAATTTATTTTTGTTTGTTTGTTTATTATTAGCCTATATATATAATTTTTTTTGTTATCACGCTGCTCCCCCGGGGAATACAGGCAACCGACGTCTAGAAAGGCCTACAATATAAAAGGCTTTATTGTTCTGGCCTAATAAATATATATTTGGTTGACTACTTTAGGTGTTTGCCAATGATTGTCTTGAAAGGCATCCTCAAAACTAGTGAGCAGGGGCCTGTTTCAGAAAGGAGGTTAAGTGAAAACTCTTAGTATGTTAACCCTGAAATGAGGGAAACTCTGGGTTTTCCGTTTCAGAAAGGGGGGTATATCAAACCCAAGAAAGCAGAGTAAGTCAAGCCCGTTTCTGAAAGAGAGGTAACTTATACTCAGAGTTATTTTTTTATAAAAAATAAGATGTTAATCTTATTCATAATCAATTATTGAAGTTAGTTGATTACATATGTTTTATTGAACAAATGTTTAATTTATTTAACTGTCATTTTAACTGATGATAATAATAACCGTAATTTGATAATGCAGTTTATATATTTAATAATTGTTTAATACCATAAACCGTGATATTTTCTGAGACGTTCTCATACTGTGAAACTCTCATACGTTACAACCCCACATGGGGGAGTCCCCCACCCCACCCCTGCTGTTAAACAAGTTACTCAGCAACTTTTACTCATGTTTTAAATTAACTACTTTTTACTTGAGTAGATTTTTAGGTTGGTATTTTTACTTTTACTTAAGTAAAAATGTATCAAAGTAATAGTAACCTACTTTAGGTTGAATAACATTCTTCCAGTTTCACCTCTTGATATTATAACAGCAAGTTACTCTAAAATAGTTATGAATTATTAATTACAAATGACATCTTCAACGGTGTAGTTAGATTAATCTTCCAGCTTCTAGAGATAATTACTATCTCTAGAAAGTATTGGTCTACATATTACTAATTACTAAATCCTATAGACAACCTCAACCACTTGAACAATACAAGGAGGAGAAACAAGAAACTGCACTTTTAATTCTTTCAAATTAACAATATACAATTGCATGAATTATTCTTGAATTGATCAAAGTGTGTAGAGGGAGAAGGTTACATAAAAATTTACCTTTTAAAAATGTATGTTAAATCCACTATTGTTTTGTACTGAATTGGTCTATAGTTCACGCAGTAGCCTATTTAAAGTAATTGCATCATATTTTATTTTAAATTACAGAAGAATTCAGAGTAATCCCTTTAATTAAATGACAATATTTAGATTACTTGGTAATTAATTACACCCAACACCTCTTTTTGTCTGCGCTGTTGCCATGGTGACTCATAATATCTGTGCTCCATTGATAATGGCTTTTTATAGTTGTGGTGCACGTGCTTAACTCAGAGTCAGTCAACTCAGAGTTGATTGAACTAACTCATTTCAGCTGTTCTGTAACCGAAAACTTAAGGGCAGATCCTTTTAGCGCTGCTGATGACACTGTGGAGTGACACTCGAGTGATCAAGTATTCCAGTGTATATAAAAAAGCTTTTATTCGATTCCTCTGTCCTCCTTTACTGTCCTCGCTTCCTTCCCTCGTGTCCTACAGGGGGTGGAGCTGAGACGCAAGGAAAGGAAGCAAGGAAAGGAAACGAGGATGCACAAATAAGAAATGATCTGCCCGAAAACTGTAACCCTGCCTGAGTTTCCCATCTCAAGGTAAGTCAGAGTTCAAGCTTTAACTCAGAGTTGGTTGAACCTCCTTATTGAAACGGGCCCCCCAGGAGTAGCCTATTAAGTAACCTATATATTGCGATGGAATGCAATATATAAACTATAAAGGGCCTTCACTCCATTCTGCCTTTTGTCTGATAAACACTGTGACAACTTCAATGCTTGAACATGTTTACATTTAGGCTATTTCAATAGATTTTTTCAGTCAGTGAAGCCAAATAATTAGGTGACAAATAGCATGCATATAGACTATTAATTTTATAGGCTAACAAACACAGTGTTTGGAAAACTCTTAATTTGAAAAACAATTAATGCATATCCTGCCAATCAGATTTAGCCCCACCCACAGGGGAAAATCAGAATATCAAGTGGTTTCTCTGATTTCCGTGCAAAAACAAGAAAACCAAAAATCAAGTGTTACGTACCCTCAAACAAGTTTGTTTGAAAGGGGCAACATTGAGGTTGTGATCAGGAGATGGTGCACGTTATAATGGCAAGAGACGACCCATACTCAGAGTTGTGAAAATATAAAGTATGATTTATTTGACAAATGATATTTTAATGCAAAGATAAATAAATATAATAATAATAATAGAGTATAAGGACATAAAGTGAAGCCAAATAAAAGAAAGGAACAAAACAAACACCAATTAACTAAACCCCAACCTCTTAGCTCACTAATAACAAAAAGAAAATAAAAGACAAAGATCTTCAGCGCAAAGCGCCCTCTCTACCTACACTAACTAATAACAAAACATACAAAAGTGGCATTCACTCTCTTACCTGGTGTAGTATACATCGAGTTTACTAGGTGTTGTTTTATGTACGTCACGTGACATTTTACCTGTCCAAATTACTCTTGGTAACCTCAAAACACGCCATCAAAGGCAGAACACGTTACAATTAGTAACCTCAAAACACGCCATCAAGGCAGAACACGTTACAATTAGTAACCTCAAAACACGCCATCAAGGCAGAACAAAACAAACAGAGTAATGTCTGTAACAGAAAAATAACGTACATACAAGCGGCAATCAACACACAGAAAGAAACAAAGCTGTCTTGCGTTCTTCTCCCGCTTCCCTTTAAACTCGTAGGTTGAACTTGATAGGCCACGGGAGGGAGATGACGTCATGATGTGAATGAAGATTGACATCGCTCTCAACCAACAGCGGACAAGAGATGACGCAAACCTAAGAATAGGATAGTGGTAGAAGAGAGAGAAGAGAAATAGAAACCAAAAGAAAACATACGACACAGGGACGTAACACTCCCACCCTTAAGAACAAACCTGTTTGTAAAAAAAAAAACACACACAATATTTTACACTCTCGAAAGAGCGTCAGCCATAACGTTATCAACACCCTTTTTGTGCTTGATCTCCACGTTATAATTCTGGAGTACTAGAGCCCAGCGCATCAAACGCTGGTTTTGATTGTACATCCTGGATTAAAAACACTAGAGGGTTATGGTCAGTGAATACGGTGACAGGAAGATTACTGGAACCAAGGTAAACTTCAAAGTGCTGGAGAGCAAGTAAGAGAGCAAGTGCTTCCTTTTCAATGGTAGAATAGTTAAGCTGATGTTTATTAAACTTGCGAGAATAATAACTCACCGGATGGTCTATACCATTTATATCCTCCTGAAGAAGGACAGCTCCGGCTCCAACAGCACTTGCATCTACCTCGAGTTTTTAAAGTACGGGAGCAATCAGGTGCAACGAGAACAGGTGCATTACATAAAAGCATTTTAACGCAATCGAAAGCATTCTGACACTCCGCAGACCATTCAAATTTTTTAGATGGACAAAGTAATGAAGTGAGAGGGGTAACGACGGTTGAGAAATTTTTACAGAAACTGCGGTAATAACCAGCCATACCTAGAAATCTTCGCAACTCTCGTCGAGTCGCAGGGACTGGAAACTCTGCAATAGCAGTAACCTTCACTTCCACTGGTCGTACGTAGCCTTGTCCAACCTCTTTACCCAAATAAGTGACAGTCGCTCGACCAAACTCACACTTTGCCAAGTTGAGAGTTAAATTAGCTGCACGTAGACGTTCGAACACCGTTCTCAACAAACTCACATGTTCCTCCCAAGTCACAGAAATATAACACTAAATCATCAAGATATGCATTGCAATTCGGTACATCAGCCAAGACGATATTTACAAGACGCTGAAAAGTGGCTGGAGCGTTTCTGAGTCCGAAAGCCATCGCTGTATATTGAAGGAACTTATCTGGTGTTACAAATGCTGAAATGTCTGACGCTTGTGAAGTAAGTGGTACCTGCCAGTACCCCTTCAACATATCCAGCTTAGTAACAAAACGAGCAGACCCCAGATTATCAACACAGTCCTCCATGCGGGGTAACGGATAACTGTCTGGCAACCGTTACGGCGTTCACTTTTCGAAAATCAGTGCAAACCTTAAACGTACCGTCAGGTTTAGGCACAAGGAGACAAGGAGAGCTCCAGGGACTGCAACTAGGTCTGGCTAAGTCATTTTCAAGCAGATAATTCACTTCTTGACGCATAATAGATTTCTTGACTGATTTATGCGATAAGCATTTTGCTTAATAGGACGAGCACCATTTACAACAATATCATGCTGTAAGACATTTGTTTGTTTAGGAACATCACTAAACAGACAATAAAAATCGAATATTATTTGAACATGTCAGTTTCCTGGTCAGCAGTTAAATGATTGAGATACGAGTGAAAGATTTCTAAAATTTCTGAGTTGGCTAACCTTGCACACTGCTGAGGAGCGTTGCGAAGCACGACACCATCCTTCGTAGCCCCTGAGATACCAGAAAATGGTTTCAGTTTCCCACGGCTATTGCGACAGAAAGAGACCGCGGGCCCTGCAGTTTCATCTGAAGCTTTCACCTCAGGCATCTCCCTGTCATGGTAAGCTTTTATCATGTTTATGTGACAAACTCGGGTTTGACGTTTTCTGTCAGGTGTGTACAGCATATAATCAGTTTCACTCATTTT